CTGGGCATGGCGGCAGAGCTATACTTGAGTTGGAATGCCAGCCAAGCGCCAATCCCAGGGTCAGCCGCACTGCTAAATCCTGCCTTGTCTTTGACAGGATCCATCAAGCACAGCTGCCTAGACTGGCTCTGGCGAGAGGGAGACTTTCAGGGCGGAGGGGATGCTGGGCTATCAATTTCTAGATGTGAAAAGATCACACACGTTTAAAAATAAGCTTACATCACATGGACTGGCTGGTGAAACCAACTGCTTTTGCAGGGAGAGCCTAATGTTTAGTAGCAAAAGTGCACTCCCAAAACTTGCACTAGGCCAGTGGTGGCGAATCTATGGCACATGTGCCAGAGGCAGCACTCAGAGCCCTCTCTGTGGGCATGCGCACCATTGCCCCAGCAGAGTTCACCAGAGTTAGCGAGCACATGACGTTTGGAAGCGACAGAGCAGGAAGTGAGCAAGCAAGCGGCGTTGGCCCCCCAGGGATGCTCCAGAGATGGTGAGGGACTGGCTCCAGCCACGCTCACCCAGTCTGCCGTGACCTCTGCAGCCACGCCCATCCAGTGCCCCCCCCCAAGGGCACCACAATGCTGATGCAGCCCTGGCACTTTGCGATAAATAAGTGGGTTTTGGGTTGCAGTTTGGGCACTCAGTCTCTAAAAGGTTCGCCATCACTGCACTAGGGGAGTGGGTGGGAAAGCTCCAGCTGCCCTCACCTGAAACCCCCCCCCCATCCCACAATGGGGTTAGAAGGGCTGCTCTTCTTCCTTCGGCTACTTGCCTGCACTGTGACTCCACAGCAACATTCCCTTGAGTTCTGCAGCTGCTCCTTCCCCTGCCAGCTGCCAAGGAAGGAAGGGGGCGTGGGGGGGGATCCCGGCTGCCAGCTTGCTCTGCCCAGTTACTCACTATAGTCAGAGTCCTGCTCATGGAAGGGAGCAGAGTAGTCCAGGTAGGTGGCATTCCACTGCAGCTCCCGGGTCTTGGTGTCATACATGGTGATGACATACTCTGCAGAGGAGAGCAAGATTGATTTACCCTCTCCCTCCCTGCCTGTCCCTCCCCTTCTCCCTTTCTCCCCCTCTTCCTCCCTCTCCTTTCCTCTCCCTCTCCTTCTTCCTCTCTTTCTCCTTCTTCCTCTACAGGCTGCTGTTTCTCCCCCTGAACATTCTCAGGGATGGAGGCTCAAGGGACGCTCACCACTTCGTCCGATGAACAACAAGGGGCTTATGGGGTGAAGCCCATCCCAGGCCTCTGGCGACAGCACGCTCTGCTTCTCCCCCGATGCCGGGTTCACAAGAAACCAGGTGTCCTCCTTTTTTCCTGGAAAATTGAGGACGGAAGACACATATTCCGGGGTGCTCCCATCCCTTCAAGTAGGAACGGGCTCCAGCCTTGCTGATGCTTTGCGCACCCTTCCGCCAGC